GACCAGGAAGAAACTGGGTGGAAATACATTCATGGTGATGTTTTCAGGTTCCCAAAATACAAGTCTTTGTTTGCTGCTGCCCTTGGAAGTGGCACACAACTCTTTACCCTGTAAGTATGCTTTTGGAGGTTTAATTGATCTACTCGAGTATTTGTCAACAAGTTTTGTTGCCATGGTATTTGCATTTGTGGATATTAACTTTATGTTCGACGAGAATAAATGAAATGAGTTTTCCTTTTCCCAGGGCGACTTTTATTTTCTTACTCGCTCTTGTTGGAGTATTTTATCCCTACAACCGAGGAGCTCTTTTTACTGCACTGGTGGTCATATACGCACTTACTTCTGGCATTGCTGGATATACAGCTGCATGTTTCTATTGCCAGTTAGAGGGAACAAATTGGGTAATATATTTAGATTAGTCACCATTTGTTCAGTTTCATTTGAAATTTACATGTAGTTCCATGCTTATGTAGTATTTCAATGAATTCACTTTTCATGTTTACATTTTTTCGCTTCGAATTCCGCTTGTCATTTTCAGAAACAAGCCTTTTCTTTTTATTCGTCTTATATCCTTCTCCAGAGCCTGCTTGAACCACTCGGCAACCCCTAAGAGAAGGATAAGAGTGATAGAGGTTTTAGATTAGTTTGAGTGTCAATAGTGACTGAGTCGTCGTAGCTTATCATGTTGTGAAATGCATATCATATGCTCCAAGCTTGTTGGATACTTGATATTTTCAGCTAGTTCATGCAGTCAGTTGGCTGCGAAACCAAACTGCTATGATATATTGATAATATGTGTGATATTTTTTTGCCAGTAGCATTATGCTTCTCTTTTCGTCCCCTGTGTTTACGCGCACAGTGTGTCATCATAACCTGTTTCTTACATTTTATCCTTTCTGTTTTAACAGGTCCGAAATTTACTATTGACTGGAGGCCTCTTCTGTGGACCACTTTTTCTCACATTTTGCTTCCTTAACACTGTTGCCATTGCGTACCATGCTACTGCAGCTCTTCCCTTTGGTACCATTGTCGTGATTTTTCTTATATGGGCTCTCGTGACATCACCCTTACTAGTATTGGGAGGAATAGCGGGGAAAAACAGTAAGGCCGAGTTTCAAGCTCCTTGTCGTACCACGAAATATCCAAGAGAGATCCCCCCACTGCCTTGGTACCGTGGGGCCCTGCCTCAGATGGCCATGGCCGGATTTTTGCCATTCAGTGCCATTTACATTGAGCTTTACTATATATTTGCCAGTGTCTGGGGTCACAGGATTTACACCATTTACAGCATCTTATTCATAGTCTTCATTATTCTCTTGATTGTCACCGCATTTATTACTGTGGCATTGACGTATTTCCAGCTTGCTGCTGAAGATCATGAATGGTGGTGGAGGTATGTGTCCTTTGAATTTAACTCGAACGTTTTATAAGCATGATATATGTGGTTTGTCGTGCTTGCATGTTGTATCATGTAGTCAGTTTGGATTTTCTTTGTGGTTCTTGTTATCATTGCTCACTCTTAGGGAACTTGTATATGATGCTTAAATTATTTTACTGCACCACAAACCTTGATCGCACTTTCTTAAATTTCATGCCGAGGCACAGAATACTTGCAAAAGTAACCTCTTTTTTTTTTTCACAATTTATCAGGTCTTTCCTATGTGGTGGATCAACTGGATTGTTTATTTATGGCTACTGCCTCTACTACTATTATGCACGATCGGATATGTCAGGCTTCATGCAGACGTCATTTTTCTTTGGGTACATGGCTTGTGTGTGCTATGCTTTCTTCCTAATGCTTGGAGCTGTAGGTTTTCGTGCTGCTTTGTTCTTTGTGCGCCATATATACCGTTCGATCAAGTGCGAGTGAGGACTCAGATTATCTGTAATCATCTTAAGAAAACTGGGGTATCTGAGGGTTTTAGATGTGGTATCGGTCTGAGATTTCTACTGAGCTTTCTTGTGGACTCATTATTTGAGAACCAAGTAGTTCTTTTTTTTGTGTAGACCTACAAAACATAATACATATCAAACAAATAGGTGAAGTTTTGCTATTTCTTTACTTTCTCAAGTCTTGCAACAAAATAAAGTATATCCCATCAAATAATGCTTCCACCTCAACATTATATAAAATACACTAATTAATGCATGTATATACAAACATTTTTCCAAAAAAGTATGAAATATTTATACCTATTACATTAATTTTACATTGATATTATTTTTTAGCTTAATCAAAATCGGCCAAGATTATTTGTTTTCTTAATCAAAATCGGTCTAAGATTATTAGTTACAAAACGTTACATGGCCAACTGACAGACTGAAAAAATGCTCTAGCTCGTAAGAAAAAGTAATAGTTGTTTTTCTTTCTTATTCTTCATTTTGCCAACCGGTATCCTACTAAAAGCTTAAACCTACAGAAAAGTCGGCTTTCAAAATAATGTCTATTGGCTTTTTTTTTTCCAAGAGAAACAAACAACAATTCGCGATGGCAACCGATCCGTGTGCAAGAAGAAGAAGCTGACATTAATTCTCTTCAGAAACCTTAAAGAATGTGTATGACAAAATCAAGTTGTTGATACCGTCCATCTTTGGATCCGTTTCGAATTCTGGGTCGATGTAAAAGAATACCTTGAACAGTTCATAATAATAATAACACATTAACAAGGTTGCAATAAACTAAACCATTGTAGAAGGAATAACACAAAATGATCATACTAACCGGCATATCAATCTGTTCCCCGGGGAGAAGCCTTTGCTCCTCAAAGCAAAAACATTGTATCTTGTTAAAATAAACAGCAGCCTAAAAGGATCAGACAAACAAAACAGATATGAAACGAAGTTCACCGAGTGCGTACCAACTTTTTCCAAATAATATATATATATAGGATCTTAGGTCATCAATATTTGTACCTTCATAGGAGTTACATTATATGTAGATACACCGGTTATTGGAGTTGCACTTTTATTTTCAGCAGTGTAAAATGCAAGAGCACTCTCCCCTGGCTTAACCCTTACCTGTAAATTTGATAGGACAGCTAAACGTATAAGATGTGGGCAAAATTTCTATGCACATGACCTCAAGTGCAAATTAACGAGATTTTATTGGCGGATCATAAAATTTACCCTGGAGATGTAGATTAATCACAACAGAACCCATTCATCTTTTAGAGCTACAAATATAGCAAATACCCAATTTAGCTGGTGTAATAAGTACAATACTAACATGTAACAAGAGCTATTCATAATTTCAAAATATAATTGAGCATTTTTGAGGTGGGGTTAGGGTAGTTGTGATCATCTAAATTTGTGGATAATGGATCATATTTATAATTTTCCCATAAAAGAATCTCTATGTGCACATGAAAATTTTGAAAATTGCTTAAGCACCTCTCTCTGTGTCGGAATAAACTTCCAGGGCATTCCGTCAGCTACATCAGCATTGAACTGCACAACAATCTCCCTGTGAACATAAGAAAGAAAGATCATGCAACATAACTATGAAGATGAAATGAGAATATTCCATCCCGAAGATTAAAGAACTTTGGGAATGGGAGGGAATAAATTCAAGAAGTGGTTAAGTGGATAGTTATAGAAAAAGGAAAAATTTCTAATTTCGAGGTATAAAATAGTAACAAAGTAGGTTCAAGTATAAAATTGTAGAGGTTTATCATATGCCGCAACTGCAAAGGCTTTAAGAATCGGCAAAATAGACACTTCTCCTTTTTTTTTTTGGCTCTCCTCTTATTATATTAGTCCGTCTCAACAAACTGTTGTCTTGGTCCATACCAAGCGGAAACTCCATAAACACTTCACAAATCAGATAAGAACTATGAAACACAAAATAAACTAAATGTTGGTGAATGTACAACAACATCAAACTTTGTGGATGACTCTTGTAATTGTCAAAGTAAGCTGGGCGTTTTATGCAAGAATTCTTTGTCATCTATTCATTTATATAAATATGGTATGTACATGCTTTTGTTTCCAATATTTTTCGGTATCACGATCCTGTGCGTTAGGTCATATATACTTATCCTCATAACATTCTCACAGAGAAATTGAAATACAAATACAATTTTTGGCTTTTCACTTAATAAAGATTGAACTCAACCACGCAGTGACTAAATAATGAATATCACAGATCAGCATATCTTTAAGCAACAAATATTTCACCTAGATGTGACAGTTCCATCCTTTGTGTGACGGGCAATCTTATCTTCAACACTCTACAAAAGACCGAACAGGCATCATCTCTGCCTCAATGCAACATATTAAATAAAGAAAACTTATTACCACATATGTAAATTTACAGAACTATTTTACCTCCCGACGCTGAACAGTACCCCCATAGCCAGTAGCTTGACAAAATGTCCTGTATAAAGGGACCGCCGCATAGCTACACCCCACCATAGCAAATACTAATCCAGTCAAGTATAAGAGCATCTTCTTGGATTTCATTTCTGTGGCAGCATGAGTAGAATATTGCCGGCCAAAGTTGATGGAACATAATTCTTGCAGATTACAATTTCTCAATTTATATCCTCGATTCGACATGAAACCCCGGGATTCAAATCCAAATGTGCGCACGCGTATATTGCCAAAAGAATCATACTTTGAGTAAGAACCCAAAGCATTAAGCGGGTACCTTTATTGCAAAACATGCGCAACGTATAAATAAACAAATACTTGAGTTTAACACCAATCAGAACTTGTGATATCAGTTACCTGGATAAAATGGGGGCTTGGTGAAGAAGGGCTTTGCTGCAAGAAAAGAAATGGCTTCCTCTAGAAAACCGGGAAAACGACATGCTGAGTGGGAGTTCGATCGTATAATATAATATCAGAACAAATTCACCACATCTGCCCAACTGCTTCTGAAATCAAAAAAGCACAGAAACAAAACCCCTAATCAATTTCCATAAATTCAAAAATAAAAACTCAGGCAAAGTTCCTACAGCACAAAGCAAGATCAAGCTATAATGGAACCACAATAGCCATTGTGATAACTCAAAACAAAAGGAAAAGGATGGCCTTAGCACAAAACTGTTGCAAATTATAATGAAATTACGAATATCAAAAACAAGATTAAACAATTTCTTTAGTTTTCAGTCTACAGACACCTCCTGAGTTACTATATTTTTTTAGCTCCTTTTGCAGCCAAAAAATGACAGAATCATAGACAAACTGCATAAATATAATCTCAAAATTGTTTTGAGTATCACTAAACGTTAATCAGTAGCTACTAAATTGGGAAAAAAAAAATAAGAACAAAGAAAAAGGCGTTACACTCTGAGGATAAACATAGGACAGATGCAGAAAATCTTGAAGTAGAAGAGATAAACACTTCACCGTCTCAGTACGCTAACGCAGAGTGGCCGTCGCTGATCACAGCAATAAAATGTGAATGAAATGTGGGGGTGGGTTTTGGCCCTCTTGGAAGGATGTTGGGCTGTTGATTGATTAAACATGTTAAACGGTTCTTAGCCCGACGGCCGGCCCGAAAATTAAGGGTTCGTTTAGCTTGAAACCCGTTAGGACTAGTCTGTTTAATTTAAGTTGTACTGTGTAAACGTTTGCAGCATATAAGAGCACACACAATGTTTTGGGTTAAATCACAAAAAATTGTACGCCACCTAAGAACTAGACATAGTCTAAAAAAATATATCCACCAATACAAACAAAAGTAGACTGTGTCATGTTGATGTGGCAGCCAGAAAAAGATACCCGGTCTAGCCTTAAGTCTATTTTAGACCCAAGTAGAGACCTAGTCTCTTTGAATTAGAATGGATTTTAAAAATTTTAGATAATTTTATCCATGTCATCAAAGACTTGGGTTTATTTACATACCACATAGGCAAGAGTAGACCCAATGCATTGTAGATGCTCAAGAAATATGCTAAAATATTCCTTTTATACTGTATTTTTTTTATTTTTTATTCTAGTATGAGTTATAATGGGTTAATATGATTTTGAAAGATAATTATTAACAATTTTGTTATTATATTTCACACCAACATATGTAAGCCAATCAAAACGACTAATAGAAACACAAGAGACAAAGATCTAACACATATATAGAACATGATGATGGAATATAATTTCGGAATTATGATACAATATCGTAAAAATTTCAAAAGCATACAAAATAAGTAGTAAAATGGTAATTATAAGTAATAGTTCGAACATTTATTTCCTTTCTAGAAAAAATATGTCATTAAGAGTTTGTAACTGAAATGTGTGTTCATATATGAAGTGTAGTTGTATATATAGAACGGTAATACTAAATAGCCGTTGAAAACAATCGTTAACTAGTCGTTTTAATTTATTATTATTATTATTAGGGTAAAATACTTTTTTCCCATCCGAACTATAACGGTTTTGGCGCATCACCATATAAACTATTTTTTTTTTTTACAAACCACCATATGAACTATCCAAGTTTGTCAATGTGCCCCCTAAACCAGATATAAAAGTGGTTTTGACTGAAAAAGCTGTTTGGTCACCATATGTGCCCCTTAAATACTTTTACAAACCACCATATGAACTATCACGGGTTTGTCAATTTGCCCCCTAAACCACTTTTATATCCGGTTTAGGGGGCATAT